CGCGTGACGTTTTTTGTAATTAGTTCCAATTGAAAATACAATTAAATTATAATAGTATATGTAATTTTCTCTGCAATTAAGGTTTAATTTATGGTCATGTTTTGAAATTAGATAATGCTGGATAAGGATAATAGTTGTGAAACTGCAGATATATTTTCCACAGTTAGCATTTATAAATGGTTTTAAAATATATTTTTTCAACTTATTATATTATTAGAAATTTGTATCTAGCACAGGATAGTTACAAATCTCATTTACTTTAAGTTGCATTAGTTTCCATTTATTATCATGCAGTTATAAACAAAATTCTTCTAATATTGAAAGGAAATTAATTTTCTTAAAATTTATGTATACAAATAGTCGACTTGTGCAAATTACTTTAAGAACTGGCTTCAAACTTTTAACTTCATATTTTATTATTGTAATTTGGGTAAAATTTTCTCCTATTCAGTAGAGAGGTTAAAACCTAAAGTCAATATAAAGTGTTGACCAATAATGAATAAATGAAACTAATTTTGATCAGATAAATCACAATGCTTTTTTTATGTGATATGCACTATATGGAAAGGGACTACTACTTAACCTAGTCAGTGGTTTCCAAACTTTTTCCCACCGCACCTCCCCATTCTAATAAAAACAATTGAAGCTCCCCCCCCATAATTTTTTTCAACAATTTAATTTTATGAATACTCAACTGATTGATTTGGTTATCAGGCTACAAATTAATATGCAATATTTTGTAGAAATATGAAAAAAATCTAATTTTTTTTTTCTTAATATTATTTCAAAAACTTTGGTTTATTTTGGTTTATTTTATAACAGGCCGTCGCGCCACAGATTGGAAACCGCAGCTTAACTAATATGAATAAATACATTTAAAATATTTCATTACCAATATGAATTTTAAGCTTTAACCAAATTAATTAATATTTAACGACTACTTTGTGCATTTTTAACAAATTATTTATTTGATTTTTGGTATTACTACTTTATAATAACAAAGGAAATCATTAATCGCTTTAGGCAGACCGTAACTTTGATTAACAAATATTGATAATAAATATATTTTTTCTGATAGGAATTTGATCAAAAATATTAGATTTTTTTGTGTTATTTTTATTTTCATTGTTAAAATTGTAATTCCCTTATCAACAATAATAGTTGTTAGATAAGGAATAAATTTACATGGATGAGCTAATAGTTTCAATAATCTTTAAAATATATCTTTAATTACTACTTAATGGTAATTAAGTTGAGGCTGATGTTTGTTAAAATGAGGATTAATGTTGGCAATTTATCTAGATATTATAATTACAATGTGCAAAATTCAGAAACTACGAAAAATGAAATCTAATGTATGCGTTTAACAAAATCAAATTACATTTGTTGACCCAACAAAACTTACTGATCAAAACTAACAGAATTCTTATCGAATGCGAATCTTCATCTTCTTTACATTTTTTATATAGTGCTTCCATTTATTAGCTCTTGTTTTTCTCTGTCGTAATTATTACTGTTGTTTGTCTTTTTTATTTTAATTATATGATTACAGTGAATGGGCTGTATCGTTTAATCTAAATTTACATATTTACATATCTTACTATCTATTTTTAGATATTTCGTTATTTCTATGGAATCCTAATTACAATACATATATTACATATAGAGTTTTTTCTGATACTAATTAACAAACTGTGTTCATATTTAATGACGGAATGAATTTTGATGCATAGGAAACGTTTCACTATCTTTGGTATATAATATTCAATAATGTATTTGTCGTCTAATTAAATAACTTTTAATCTCATAATGATGTTATTGTTGTTGTTGTCATATATTACAGCAGTGTCACTAATCCTTCAGCAATTTGCCCAAGTCCGTGGAATCTTTTAATTGACTAATTAATATATAATATATTGATTGCGACAATGAGAATTTTAAATAAAATCTCTCATGTCGAGCTTGTTTGTTGCTCGACAGGTCATGCTTCGCAGTAATGTAACTGTTTTTATAATTTATTAGATTGATTTTACATTTGTGCATTAAGTATTATTAATTGACGTGAAATACTGGTTTTAATCGCATATTTTAACTATATTTGCCATTTTTATTATCTATGTGTGAGGTAATTATCATACTCCAAGTTCAACTATTAGCGCAAATTAACTAGTTACTTTCATTAATTTAACTCGCATGTCTTACATTTTTATTGAAGTATATTTAGTATACATAAAACTAGATTTTATTTGGTGTACTATTTAGATAGTTTTTAATTTTATGTAGCATTGCCGGATAAAGGTTTTTTTTACTTGGAATCGATTTCACCCTTCTATTGCTTGATATCAGGCTGTTGATATTGGATATTGAACATGAATCTTTTGGTCGCAAAACCAAAGCTCTTTCCACAAGCCAAGGCATGTGTTTTTGTGCATCTGATACATACACTTTTTTTAGATAAATATGTAATCAGATTTTTCTTCAACTTAACGTTCATTTCAAGTTTCAGGTTACATATGAATGTTTATGTGTAAGTGGTCTAATTTCAAAGAAACATATCAAGTTTTTTGATTAATCAAATCAGCTAACAAACATTATTTGATTATATTGTTCTGATTAAACCTACGTCACAATACAACTTAAATTCTCCTTCATTACAGTAATTTAATAGATAAAGCATTTTACGAAATTACAGTTGCGAACTATAAGTTGATAAAATAATCACAATTAACTGGAAACACTTCCTGTTTATAAATATATCGTTAACGAGTTTAAATTTCATTAAAATAAATACAAACGTAAAAATATTTTTAATATTTGATTATATTTGTTTTAGCCGAACCTGTAATATTGTTTTCAATTTGTGCAGATCAATGCAAATATCTTACGAAAGTGTTCACTCATTGTATTTGTTAATGTTTGTTTGACAATTCAATTCATATGTTATTAACACCTTATAAACTATGGGAAAATGAACTTTGTAAGAAATGTGCTATATTTAGTAACAGTAAAATTGTAAATTTATGTTACTTTTATTTTAGAAAGTATACGTTTGTGAGTTAATTAACCTATGTAACTAATTGCAAATATTTTAATAAACTTAGGAGGTAAGATATTTTATATTCTTGAATATCATCTGTAAGATTCTGTACGATCACTTAATTTAGGAGACTAATATTCTTAATTTAAACTTTTGATTACAATAAAATCTTTGTATATAAAATGACTAAAGAAGGCAACCCAATGGATAACTATTCTCTTTTTGTTGAGGTTATATTTGATATAGTTCAAATAGTGATGTGAGTATATGTTGTAGCAATATCCCGAAATGCTATTTTTACTTGAAATCGTATTTGAGATCTATAATCTCAAGTGAAAATCTGATAACACTGTTTGAAACCAAGGTGGCCAGGTAGGATTGAACCTTTGGATCATGCTAATTCATGTTCTTACTACCAAGTTAAAGCCATGACCAAGATAAAATAAAAAAAAATCTCCAACTTAACCCTTTCCACTCGCGAATTGCAGAATTAATATGTATTTTGCCGCCAGAGTGAGGATATCCGAGTGGAAAGGGTTAATTTATTATCTTATGACAAGATAAGTATCACCGTTCGTTTATAAGTTTTATGTTATATTCGATGGATGTTTCATGATGTTCATGCTCACGGACAACTTGCCACATCGTGCAATAGTGATGTCCATTTTTACTTGAAAATTTAGATCAAAAATACGTTTTCAATTAAACATAGCTCATTTTGGCACTGCGATATGAAATGGCAATGGAAAATCTCTCACATTATTTTTGAAGTAAAACTTCTTTAGCGACTAGGGTGTAAATCCATACAAATGCAACGAAAATGCGTTACGGCAGATAAGATAAGATGAGAGCCGAGTGCCAATGATTCGTCATTCGCTCTCGATGATATCAGTTCTATACGGGTCGATTGTGATCAGTCGTCGCGTATGTGAATAGAGATCTGTCGTTGTATGCGTACCGATATCAATGAGAAAATCGGCATAGATAAATAAACATTTTAAAGTTTCATCGTAGTACAAATCTTGATTTAATGAAAAATGCATGAATCAGAAGAATATTTTATCCTGCCCCCGTAAATAATTGTAATGAAAATAATAAAACAAATGCAGCATTTGCGCCGTGTATAAAACATAAGTTTATTGAAATAATTTCTATATAACTCGTAGTTTCTATAAATCTTTGAAGTTATTGAAATGGAAAAAATTGTTTAGGCACAAGAGATATTATAGCTATTCAAAGAATGAGATTATATAGCCAGCGAAAAAGTGAAAAAAATACCATCAATCAATGAATGTATGTTAATTTTAATTGCATGAAGTTCTTTAAACACAATTATTACATGATGAGTGAAGTTGCGAAAACAATATTTATTTAGGCGTTGTTTAACATAATCCACTGAGTGAACGAATATTATAGAAGTTATTAATCAGCAATTACTTCATTTCTCTAATGAAGGTTCATCTTTAAATGCTAATTACAATGACAAACCGACCATGTCATATTTGCAGTATGACTCTAATTGCATTATTGTTTTTAAATATTATACCTGTTTTTAATGCTATTATAAATATATAGTTTATAATTCATCATTATATAAATATGTATAATGGTTGTCACTAATAAATATGTGCATCACGAGTGTTACCATATTACTAATAACATGATTCAAAATTGTTATATGATATATTTATTTTTACTTAAATGCCATCTTGTACAGTAGCAAATAAGTTTTAGTTCAATCCCGTGTGAACCTTACGCGCACTCTTTTTTTCTCTTAATCGAGTTGGGGTTTAATTCAGCTCACGAACCTGCCCTAGTGCAGTACCCATGTTACATTCCTAAATTCTTAAAAATGTCCTAATAAGTAATTTCTTTGTTAAGTTTGCTGAGACGCTAGTTTTCTTATACACTTGTTACATTTGATTTATTAAATCTAGCCTAAATAACAATTTTCTTGTTACAGTTCTGCTGAGCCAAGCCATAGAAAATGACGATTTTCGCTTCAAAACTCTCAAGATAACAGATTTCGGTTTAGCCCGGGAAGTCTACAAGACCACACGCATGTCAGCAGCCGGCACTTACGCCTGGATGCCGCCCGAAGTTATTAAGGTAATTTCAATAAAACCACTTCTTTATTTAAATGTCCGATATGGTTTGGTCAACTAATGCATTAACTGCATACCTTAACGATTGTAATAAACTTTCGCTTGGTGATATTTAGAGAAATATATGGAACCACTACTCTATAAGAATTTTAAATTATATATACCGAAAATGTAGTATAGTTATTTTTAATCAAGTAATTTGATAATTTAAGTTTAGAAAAATAATAGTTAATAAATAGAATGGATTTTCAAAATGTTAAATTTATTCAAGTTAATGCCTAAAAATAAATGAAAACTAGTGATGCATAGCATTGTGCCTTAAGGCAAATTGCTGGAACTTACCGAAGCGTAACGAAATGTTCGAGGAATATTAAATGTTTTCAAACAGATTATTATAAAAAATGCTACATTGTCTAATATTTATTTATAAGAATTATATAAACTGTATTACAAAGTTAAAATTATTTATTTAAAGTATGACAGTGAGCTTTAGAACTTCAGCCAGAATTAAAATTAAATTTTGAATTATTTTTAATATACAAAAAAAATGTTTCTGAAAAAAAAATTGAAACTAATAAACATCTCGCAAAGTGCGTCTTGAAATCAATCAACACAGAATAGAATTGGTTGGAAAAAAACTGAAAAAAAGATTATTGGTAAAATTTTCAATAGAAAACTAGACTCACCTATTTGGAATTTTGACAAAACTACATATAACAAATCATATTTTTTGCTGGAGGGCAAGTAAAAGTTACAAGATTTTTTGTTGTTGTAAAAATATTTTTGTAATATCAGTAATAGGATCAATATATAAATAGGAGTATTTGCTGGTGAAGAAGCGTTAAAGCAATAAAAAGATGAAATTCGAATAAATTATAAATTAATTAAATCTATTCTCGATATTGAGCATTGAACCTACTGATTGATGAATTTATAGTATTTAATCCATGCCCCATTGTTCTAAATCATCTAATTATAAAATATTATTTACTAAACATTTTACATTGAGCAGATATAAAAATGCCGAGTACACGCGATTTCATTAAACCTCATTAAAAATCATATATTTTTATATTCACTACGGAAGATGTAAACACATTTGTAATACAATGGTTTATCATAAACAAGAATTAATTCTGAATCTTTGTTTTGGAAAAATAATTCATTTACAAGAAGATAGCGCTAACAGAAAATAATACATCATATATAACGTGTTAATTATTCAATCGAAATCAAATAAATTTCAAAATTGTATTAATGTCAAATTTTAATCAAAGACGAAAGATTAAACGTACAAAGCATTCTAAATAACTTTTCGAATAATTCGAATAACTGCATAATCTAAACTATTCATTATCAATGGACTAATAGCTGACATTTTACATGACTATGTAAAACTCGAAGTCGTTATCGTTAAATATTCCACGCTTTTAGTGGAAGTTTCTTAATCAAGTAGAAAGCAGACGATTGATGTTAACCAATGTAGAACGACATAAACTATGAAGATAGTTAAACAGAAAATTTATAATCATAAACGACTATAAAAGGTAGTAAAAGCATAATAATAAAGAGAATGAGCAAGATTAATCGATGAAATAAAAGCATAAACCTATTTTTTATTTACTATTATCAGTGCATTTCTGTAGGAAATGTGTCTAAACTAATCTAAATATGATACATTATAAAAATTATGAGTATCTATATTGATTAAAAAAGAATTTTATGAATTTATTATCAAAACAATTTAAAATTATTTTTATTCATTAATTATTTTTATGCTCGTAGGGTAAGTTATAGTAGGGTAACTTATAGTAATTGGAAACCTTTTTATCATTAAGAAAACTATCCAATTTATATAATTGTTATTGAAATTTCTACAATTTAATGTGCACATACTTTTATTTAAGTGTTAGGATTGAAACCTAAAGAAAAATTATGCATTTGAATTTTTAATATTCAGTGAGTTTATTATATATTATTCATTTTTGCTATCAAAATGAAATTTATTTTTCTGATAGGCAAAATAATAAATAATAATAAAAAAAATGTACCAGGTTCCACCGAGATTTGAACTCGGATCGCTGGATTCAAAGTCCAGAGTGCTAACCATTACACCATGGAACCGTTAGTATTTCGGTGGCTATAATAATATTCTGATCTGAGGAACTTGTAAAGAATCAAATGTTCGTTTACGAATTTGTGTTTTTAGTGATATCTCTTTGCAGTCTCTGCTTTCATTTGTACAGAACATTTACAAACATATTTCAATAACAGCATTGTTTGTACCATTGAACTTACTAAAATGACGATTTTCTTTAAATCATTAAGTATAAGAAATAAATGAAAATCTTAATTACTTTTGAACGAAACGAAAATGAAGAAGTGAATATAAATCCTATATATTCTAGGTCCAACATGTAAGTCATTCAATGAACCACTGATTTGCTTGTTTTATTTCACATTAAAAAATATTGGTTTTGTAGGATATTCTATTCTATTTAATTAAATTTATTCACTTTCTTCCAGACGAGTACATTTTCTCGAGCCAGCGACGTGTGGAGCTACGGGGTTCTGTTATGGGAATTGTTAACTGGGCAGACACCATACAAAGGAATTGACGCTCTTGCAGTAGCCTACGGAGTTGCTGTTAATAAATTGACGCTGCCAATACCGTCCACTTGCCCGGTGAAATGGAGAGATCTAATGGAAGGTATGAATAAAATTATTTATAAATCTTATCCCATATTTTTGAAAAATACGTTTCTTTAGCAATATTTTATATTATATCCATAGGTAGTGCTGCAAAAATTGGTTTGAATTCGAATTATTAGATGTGATTTATAATAATGTAACATGTTTATTTTATATAAACTATAATTAATATCTAGGTTAAAATAAATCTCGAGCATCCAAGTTCAGTATGCTATATGCATCACGTATGTGGTATATAAAACATGTAATTTTAATGGTATATTGACACTTGTTATTAAAGTATGCCGCCTTAGTTTTCTTACTACAAATGTGCGTTTAATAAATGTTATTTATTTAATTTCTATTCTTCTTCAGCGTGCTGGGAATCGGATCCACACCGAAGGCCGGACTTTCCCAAGGTGTTAGAAGCGTTGGATGATATAGCCAGGTCGGCCTTCGCAAATACACCACACGAATCATTCCATTCTATGCAGGACGACTGGCGCAGAGAGATTGAAGAAGTGCTCTTAGAATTGCGCAGAAAAGAAAAGGTAACATCAGGTTTTAGTAAAATATACATAATAGAATACATTGGAAAATGTATATAATATAATGACTTAATGACTATATATATGGAAGAAAACGAAAAAGAAATTTCCCAATGAACATTAGCTTTTATTGATAAATTGTTAACTTAATATTTACTTGTTATAATGCAATCAATTAGACTTGTAAATGAAAAAAATAGGTCATAAAATACCAGGTTCCACCGAGATTTGAACTCGGATCGCTGGATTCAAAGTCCAGAGTGCTAACCATTACACCATGGAACCATTGTCTACTTTTGATGAGAACAATTTAGTCGCGGTGATCTAAAGAATTTATAAATAGATGTCGATATTTTGTAGGTGATATAATTCAACGAATCTATTTATAGTTTTCAAAAATTTTAGCAATATCTGCGTATATAAAATACATAGCATGTAATACAATGAAGTTATAATGGTTATGTATTATCTTAGAGCATTATCATTTTATTAACATAAATATTACTCTTTGTTGAGTAGAGTTCTAAGAGTCGTAATTTAAGAATCATAATATATAAATTGTAGAAACTAGTGATGTGCCAAGTCGAATCAAGTGATTCGAATCATTCGAATCAAGCCTTTAACGACTTGATTCGAATCAGATTTTACTTGATTCGAATCAACTCGCATCAAGCCGCGAAATATTTACTGTGATAAAATATGTATTAACACAAATTTTTCATAAATATAAAATTTTTCATAAATATAAATATAAGAAAAATGTTTTAATTTAATTCAATATTATAATAATATAAAAAATAAATATCATAAATATAAAAAATAAATAATGAATTAAATCATGCGAGCCACCCGACTTTAATATGCTTAAATGTATCAGCCAACTCCAATCGTCTTTGTGTGACTTTTACCGCATTCATCGACTAACTATATCATCCGATTCATATGACTCAAACCGAATCAAGCGGCGATATGAGTTATTCCGACTTCATGACTCAAACCGAATCAAGCGGCGATATGAGTTGTTCCGACTTCATATGAGCCAACTCGAATCAAGCGGCGTTATGAGTTGTTCCGACTTCATATGAGCCAAACCGAATCAAGCGGCGTTACGAGTTATTCCGACTTCAATTCTGATTCGAATCATCCCGACTTCAAGCCGTTCGAGCGATATGAGTTCAAGCGATATGAGTTAACCGTATGGGCGATACAATGCGTCGTCGTTCTTGCGTGTTTATTTATTTTACGGAGCGCTGAGAGCGATTTTGTTCGTGAAATATCAATACCCAATTTTGATAATAATTAAGTGTAATAGATTTTAAATGTTATCAGAATAAACCACTCGAAATTATGAAACGAGTTTCGGGAATCTTTCAATATAATTCTCTTTTGAAACAATTACTAAACACCAGAAAGTCAGTAAATAATATGTTAACTTCTGATTATGTAAGTAATGGCAAATTCACATTAATGAAATTAACTTTCAGCTCTCAGTTTAGATGCGATCCTTTACTGATTACATAGTAAAATAAACAATCGACCCATGATTCCAAATATTATTTTATATGCTTTAGTGATGCACAATCGTTTGGTAATCTATTATTGTAAATTAATTTGAAGATATGTTTTAGCCGTCCTCAAAATTACATCATTTTTAATAATTTTCAGAATATACTTTTTGATAGTGATTTATGTTTACAATTTCTACTTTGTCGGTTATATTGGTTAAACTGACAATTTTGATTATAAATTTGGATCACATTTACTAAATTAATACATCCATGATTTTTTTTTGTCCATATATATACTTGATTCGAGTTGATTCGAATCATGATTCGAATCAGGTTTTTTTCTGATTCGAATCATTCGAATCGGGAATTTTTCGAGTCGGCACATCACTAGTAGAAACTTTAGATTTGTGACATAAGTTATATCATTAATTAACGATTACTAAAAATGTTATATTTTCCTTCATGCGCTCTGTTCAGGCCTGTTTGTCTTTTGAAGAGGTAATGTACATTTTTTCTATGTGTGCGGTAGTTTTTATTGTGGAATATGATTTTTTGTAGATATATAGATTTCATTTATGGAATAATATTTCTTATAGTTCTTACTATTTTATGTTTTTCTGTTCTCGAAAGTTTATACCCACCATGTAAGTCATTTAATGTGTTTTTTCATATTAACATTATTTAATAATATTGTAATGTAATTTATAAAATTTAAGTTTTTTTTGTAGAAAAAATTAGATCGAATGTACTAAAAGATTATTTTATATTCAGGAACTGCGATGCAGAGAAGAAATTCTGAAACGAGCGCAACTTCAACAAAAACAACACGAATACGAGTTACGTCAGAGAGAAGAAGACTTAGATGCACGAGAAATCGAACTATTAGCACGTGAATTAAGGATAATGATAAATGGACTAAATGCACCCGAACCCTGCAAAAGACGTGGAAAGTTCAAAAGATCTCGATTAAAGGTGACATTTTTCTAAATTTTGTTAATATTAGTTTTTCAATTGGTGGTTCAGCAATGCTGAACACAAATGTCTTTGGTCAAAATTTCATATCTAAATATATCTTCTAATGTGAATACAGTTGCTGAAGAAAGAACCTGGTCAGATTAGTTTGCCATCAGACTTTCGCCATACTATAACTGTACAACATACTGCAGTGAGTGAAAACGCGAGGCATCGACTTGAAACGCCTCCTGGTTCACCTGCCATACCAAGACTGAGAGCAATAGCTTGTAAGTAATGAACAAAGATTGAATTTAATATATTATATATAAATATTCATAAATTTTTATCCAAAATTTTCAGTGCCTTCGGACGGCGTTAAGGGCAAAACGTGGGGTCCTTCAACGCTTCATCAACGCGAGCGAACTGTTCTGCCTGGTGCCATGCACCGTGCTCATCAGCGCGGAGCTCCAGCGTTTAGTAAAAGCGCTCCTAACCTGGACAAGACAAGACCTCATGGGTCAGGAACACTTCGAGTGCAGGAATTAGGTACGTTGTCGTTTATCTTCAAAATATTAGTTTGGATGCTTGCTTTTAATGGGGATAGTACATTGGAATCATATATAGTTGTAATTCATTTTACTTTCTGTAATAATTATTTTATTTCTGTCATGTGGAGAAGCGGAATTGAGGACAATATCTTATCTTGGATAATACTGAATTTATGATAATTTGCATTGCAGCTGGTTTTATCGTTCATTTTGCTGTCTTACTCTTGAAAAAATTTTCATACTATTGGTAAACTATTCCTTATATAGGCTTAGTTAGCAGAAATAAAGTTGACGAAGCACTATAAATTAGAAAGTTTTGCAATAACGCGTTTTCTTAAGCTCATTTGAAGCTAGTCTTAAGCATCGTATTAATTAGAAATATATATTACATTTTCAATGCGTATTATGTAAACTTCACAAAACAATTTTATAAGTTTAATGACTATATAATAAATTTTATTTAAAGAAAAAGACGAGACGATTCACTAAATTACAAGGAAAAATTGATTATTATTGCATGTTTTATGGCATTTTACATTTATTAATTTTTATAGCATTTGTTATCTATAAACCTATATATACCTATATATATATTTATTTATTTGCAATATATAATTAATTATAATACGATTGAATCATATACAGAATTCACGCCTGAATTCAACTTTGGCTTTAGGAACATTTTGAATAGCATGACTCTATTGCTACCGACAAATCTAAGCACGCTCATATATATCATGTATATTAACCATTATTTCACCAATTCTCAATAAAAAGTATGCATGATCAAGACTGAGTTTCCTAAATGATGTATTTACGATTTGTCACGATATTATCTAGGGGAATAAAATAGACGTTTATAAAGACTATTACCATAAAAGACTAATTTTTTAAATAATATTTGAACTGTCTCCTTATATTAGTTAGTACAATTAGGGAGCTGAAAGGTTCTCCATGATCAAGTATCAAACACATGTATTATAATTTCATAAAATCATTTTCATACTATAGTTCTACTTAATCAACAAATTATTTATTTAGGGTACAAATATAATATAATCCGGAATAAAACGTTGCATTAGTTGTTGATTTATTAATTTTTTTAATGTTATGTATCATTTTTTTGAATTATTTAGTTATTTATTATTTTTTATCAAAATGTGTATCATTTTTACCAAGGATGATCAAGCAATTCGAAGTACGACAAAAATAACTATTAGTAGCTTATTTTTTATCGAATCTGTTTGTTAAGCCTCAAAATGCTATGTATTTTACCACAATAGAAATTAAATCTTGGTGTTATTTTTTAATGGAAAACTGAGACTGGTTTTAATTTACACAGATATAGAAATCATAATTCCAATATTATTTATTGATAATATACTTACACTGACTTAATTTTCTGTCGGCTTATCATGACAAAACGTTATAAATCCTATTGGAAGCTCAGTCTTATTCGGCTAACCGATTCCAAATCACCTGGCCTAAACAGCATCATATGTAAAGCGCTTGTGTTTATCGTTAAAAATTGTTCAGAAAAAATTTAGTAAACTAAAATAATGACAGGCAAAAGCGCAGAGACTTTACTCGAATGCGATTCTATGTTCGAGGCAAGGAGACACGTTGACATCACATCTGGATCTTCATCCATTCCCGATTTGATCGATTTTACGGCCTCTCTAGAATTAGAAACATCGACACCTACTTCGAATAGTTCACGATCGATACTTGGCTATAATCGAACCCTGAGCGGCCCTAGTAATAGTAATAGTGTGTCCTCAAGCCACAAATCGAACTATTTTGCTCGAAAGTGGTCAACGCAATCGGACAATGGTCTGCTTGAGCGTGGCGCTTTTGATTACAGAAGTTTTTTGAGACCGAAAGATCGAAACAAAAGCCAAGCAAATTCGAAGAATGGTGATTTATACCAAAACAGTCCTGAAGCCAACCATTACGATACGGTGTTTTCAACTAAGGGTTTCATCATAGGAAGACCCAAAAATCGCGATAAATAACCAGTATTTTAGAATAAGCTAATTTCACTAGCGAGAGAATCTCACTTTGTAACTTTACATTTTACAGTGCTAAATTTATTTATTTTTTATTTTATTTTTGAAAATGCATACACACTTTTTTATCAACCTATTAAAATCGCAAATCCAAATTTAGTGTAATGTTACTTTTGATTTACTTTATTTAGGGCTATTCAGTTTCAAAATAGCATGCAATGAGATTCTCTCGCTATACGTTTCTAAAATGATTGGAGCAACATCGAATATCAAGAAATGGACTTCAATATTTATTTCAAATATGGAAAAAATGAGGATGTTAGTTTTTCTTAGAAAAAGTGAAAATTAATGTTTAATATGTCAGATCTACAATTGTTTATAAAATTGCATTCGCTTTTCAGAATGTTATTTTAAATTTAATTATTACTAGATTGTTAATGACTATATTTTATTAGTAACAATTCAATTGACTGCCTAAGAATTTCATTTGCTTCAAAATGATAAAAGACCTATTCGTATCTACATTTTTTCTTTTCTTATGTCTATCAAAATTTATTCTTTAGTGACATATCAAAGTATATAATGTTGTAACATTATAAATTTATATATTAACAGTATTTTTATAAAGTACAACTATTATTTTTTACTTTTTCATAATATCTAAACAGTATGTTGTAAATAGGGACCAAACTGTTTGAATAATTATTATTTAAATCGATCTATTGATATTTCATGTCTCACTCAGGCATTTCAGAAGAAATTTTGAGGCCTGGCTGTAAGTTTATCGCAAATCTTTAGTTAAAAGAATGATTATATTGTTTTACAAATGCATGCTTAGGTTTAGTTTTATGAATTACAAATTTTGGTATGAAACTCACCAAACACTATGTACGCCAATACTATTGTAAAACCTTTAATTGATTATAATTTTAATTTATGAAGATTTTGTTTATTTACAGAATGCATGAATAAAATCCAAAGTTGTACATATATGTATATATGATTTAGTATTTATCATTTTACGTTATAAGTTAGAATTATTGTTTTTAGAATATAATTATACATTTACTGCTTATAGAAGAATTGTTCATTTTTATAATTATATTTTGGTATAGATGAGATTATTTCTTGGTAGAGTACATTTTGTTAGCTTTTTGTAGTCTATTGAAGTCTACTTATAATATTATTAATTTTATGGATATATAAGATATTAACAATTTGAAAATAAATGTTACCAAATAAATAGTTGCTTTCACTTTTTGAGTTGCTTGCTTTATATAATAACTACTTTTAATACATTTTATAAGTTTAATTTATTAATATACACTTATTTTTCATCTTTATATATTAACGCTTCAGATATATTTGAATTTTTTTTATTGCTACTTTATAACTACTATAATTGTTTTTGTATGCGTCCTAGCACTCTCATTTTGTATCGCTTTTGTGATTGTTTCCTTTCTAGTCTATGTTCTATTATTATTACAATATTTAGGTATACATACCATATATTTGCTCTATTTCGCACACTTTGTTTCAGTTTAAGCACATAACTAATAGTTATATAAAAATTATTTTTAATTTATGTGCATTCTAAATTTATTTATTATAGGTTTTATTACTTAAATTATATAAGTGAATTATAATAAAATCATTCATGAAATTAGAAAAATTAACTTAAATACAATTAGAAATAATTCATTATAATTTGTCTTGAAGTGTAGTTTAAATTTTTTTTGGATAATGCAATATATGTATGAATGGACTTTTATGTAAATTTTAATTTTCTGCTCCGTTTTAATCTTTTCTTCATAATTTGGTGAAGGTGTTTGGTATATGTAATTTATGATTAATAAATTAAATTTGCTCTTATATGTTTGTTTATTTTCTTTAAATTATTTAGATTAAGATTTAGTATAGTCGTTTATTTTTGTCTTTATTATTATTTACAATAAAAATATAATTTAATATTATATATTATATTCCATTTATTCCTAATTTTAATATAAAATTATTTATGATTACAATTATATGCTTATTTATTGTCTTACAAGTTACTTAATTATTCCAAATTATTTAGTGCCGTACAACTTAAGCATGCTCTTTATTCTTCTTTATTGGTGTAGGTGCAATTCTTGGTAGAAAAATATATTAACCGGCTTGGTGGTGTTACTTTAGTTGAAGTATGTATGGATTAAATATCTGATTTTTAAATATACTTTTTATTTATATAATTTTCATGTAAATATTAAATTTAGGAATCTTGCATTTCAGATTACAGTTCTAGTGAATGGGGTCCTGAGATGCCAATTGCAATGGGTTATCAAAGCAGGGCGACTGATATACCCATGCCTACGCTATACACAGCTGATGGTAAGAAAAATATATCGCTAAATATAATATGTTAATTTATATAATTTGCTATTTTATATCTTCTACTTTCTAGGCGTGCGCCCCAGAGCGAAACTATCAATTGTGGAATTAGTTCTTTATAATATGGCATCCATGTTAGCCAGTTTTGCTGCAGGCTATGATGTTCGAGTTTCTAACGTCTCTCCTCTTCATCCCAGGCTGCAACCTAATAGGTAGATTAATTAATATCTAATTAATTAATTAATTAATTAATGATTATAATATAAGCATCATTTAACGTAACGTGTATTTGCTTAAATTACGTGTATTCATATTCATGTTTTGTTCAATATAGGCCAGAAGACGACGAGGAGACATCATCACCACCTTACAGACTTCCCATAGAACCGCCAATGCAGAGATCTTTACCTCCTTTATATCAAGATGAAGACGATATGCTTAGCAAATATTCTGATTATCATTACAACAATCAATCTGCTCCTGGTGTCTACGCGCATCATACTTACCACGGGCCTGCACGGCATTCAAGGGCTGCGTTAATGCCTCACAATACATCAGGAGTTTGTGCACCGGGATATGGTTTGATAGGCCATGTGACTGGTGGCATCTATGGAAAAGAGGTTGCAGGGGATGAAAATATTAGGCCTTTAAGGTTTACTGATTCGCCGCAACATTTACCAAACAGCGCCAGTTCGGGAGGTGTGCATGCTCATCATCACACAGGTATTTTAGAACAAAAAGTTAATATTGGAATGAAATATTTTTGTTTAATTTAGTTTGGTTTTGAAGATAATCTTTTATTGGTAAAAAAATCATGGGCAATTCTAATGTTATCGTAATTTTAAATGGATGAATCGCCAAATATTAATATTTCTGATAAGAAGAATACGTATTGTTTAGACAGTTTTCTGAGTGACGAAATATGTATGCAAAAATGATCAAAATGGAATTGATTGACTTAAGGAGTTCACTACATGCTAGTAAACCTTGTGACTGAGCTTTGATTTCAATTTTCTGTCTCGTTCCTGATTTGTATTTATTGCTTACAACTTCTTAATTGACATCTTCGTTTTTTACAATTCAACTATATACGAGGTCTGTTCAAAAAGTACCCGGAATTTTCGTTTTTTCAAAAAAATATTTATTTATTCGTCTACATTAATGTGGTCCCCTTCAAAGTAGTCCCCCCCAGATATAATACACTTATGCCAGCGTTTTTTTTTCAATTTTCGAAGCACCCTTGATATTCACTTTTTGATATGTCCTTGAGCACTCTCAGCGATTTTCTTCAATCGAGGAAAACCGCCGTCCTTTCATGGGTCTCTTCAACTTTGGGAATAGGAAAAAGTCACACGGAGCCATATCTGGTGAATTTTTGCACTTTGCAACACTTTATTTCATTTTTTACGCAAAATTTAATACAAATTCTTTGACTTTTCAATTCTTCCATTGTAAAAATCGCCGAGCTCAGAAAAACACGTCGAACCTTAGCGACTACCACAGACAAAGTAAACAGTGAATATAGCTGAAAATTTCATCATACTTTAGGGGCATGTATACCAACACAATAAAAAAATTTTTGACAATCAGACACTCCAGACCCGCGAAATTTAATTATTAGTAATTCCGGGTACTTTTTGAACACACCTCGTATATTAATTGATAACGTAGTAACAAGATGTTTTATTTATTCCAGGTGTACCACAAACTCAGACGTCATCAACTTTGCTATCAGATACCGCAACAACAAATAGTAATACTTCTGGTGTTGGATCGACCCTATTAAGTGGGCCGCCACCTACGCCTAGTCCTCGGCGAAAAACCAGTTCAGACGCTGGTGACTATTCAGTCAACTCTGATCGAGTTCCTGGTAAAACATATTACTTTATTATAAATATATATATATATATATATATATATATATATATATATATATATTCTTTATTTAACTTAGGCATATATATTCCTGGGAATTATTTGCCCAATGAACTTCCTCCGGAGGGAACTTATTTAAACAGTTATGCATCACCGTATAAAACTGAGATCAATCATGGATATCAATATGATAAGAGTGATTACGCTGGAAAATATTCACATCACAACACATCGGATTATTTGATAAATCAGTCAGCGAACTATCAGGACAATTATTATCAAGTAAGTTATTATTTGAAACGGAGAGAACGGAGTGGGAGAATTTTTCTGGTATTGTTATATAAATATATATATATATATATATATATATATATATATATATGTTTTATATTTCAAGAAATACTGATTTTATTTCGATATATAAGTTTTGTATTTCAAGAAATACTGATTTTAGATTTAAGAATCGTTCTCGATTTAAATGATTCATTTATGATTGTTGTTGATGGCATTTTCCAACATTATTTAAGGAATAATACCAATTGGCATATATATATATATATATATATATATATATATATATAATAATCATTATATACAACTATGCTGAGAATATTATTATTAAACTTATTTAAAAAAAAAAAATTACAATTTAAATAAGTATCTCAGAAATCTGACTTTCACCTAAAATATATTATTTGATATGGAATTATTAAATTTTTAATAAGTCCTAATTTAATATTAGGACTATAATGCGTGTTACGATCGCATGGCTGTGCCGCAAGTAGCTCATAGACGAACCGGTTCTAATGCTTCCTCCGCAAGTTTAAGCGCTGTGAACCCGGGCTATGTAATCGAATCCGATGAAATGGCCTTGTATTCCAGTAAACGCAGTGATAATTCAGACACCGCCTACCAGGACTATCTGGTAAGTCACCAATGGAAGCAACCCAGCGGTGCCTCAACTCCACAAAGAGGTGGAGATATATGTTACTCAATGCGAGAACAGGCTGATCGACCAGGCACCTTAGGCTTAGGCTTGGAATTAGGAGTAACAAAATTACGTTCCAGTTTAAAAAAATATAATTCCCAAAAAACTTCTGGTTCCCGAAGTGGCGGTTCGTCGGGCGGTGGCACGCCTACTAATCCTACCCCTCCAGATAGTCTGACTAGTGATGACTCCTCTTACCTAAGTGCGAAAGATTCTTCCAGTTCCCATTCCAGAGTAAGGTTTAGCCCAGAAACTTTACTGGATGCTGCTGTATATTCGCAAGGGCAACAAAGTTTAGATACTGTGCAATTGATTTCTAGGAGATCCAGAAGATCGGATAGGGACTTTCCATCATAGCGTCAGCAGGGTGATGGTTTTATTTTTTTGGTTGAAAATTGGACACCGCATTTTATGGCATCATCTTGCGTCAAATTTTCAGTAGTTCTCACTGATTTAGAAAATTGCCTCTAAAGGTAATGTCCCTTTGATTTGCAAAAGTAGATGGCAATTTTCTTTTAGCTTACTAAGTTTTTGAATTACAAAATCAGACACACATTTAAAACTTAAGTAAAAATTTGGGTAGACTGATAGTCTAGAGTTACTTAATAAGATGGATATCAAACTATTTCATGTTGGACCAATTATTTACATATTTGTTTGCATTTCCACATGTTTTGCAAATGAATTTTTGAACTTTCTCTACAGACCTTCCTAACACTTTCCTAACACCTAACAATAGTGATACTATTGATTTTTACCACTTTTATTTTGTTCCATTAAATAAATTATACTATTAGAAACCTTGTAATCAAATCAAATAATTGCCATAAAATATTTTTCGGTGAAAAATAATTTAAATCATATTTTTATGATAGATACATAAGTAAGTAAGTTATTACATAATGAAGACTTCATGAAAAACGCATCTTTGGTGTGCTATTTCTGTTATTGGTGCTTTTTAACTAAATATTAAGTCATATTGGATACTATGTAGATTAAACCATAAATATTATCGACATTACCATGTTTTTAGAATAAACAAGGGAGACTGTCTTTTTATGTAGCACAGATGGATAAAATGACATAATTGCTAGCTTGTTTATTGACGCTGGTCTCGTCAAATATTTATATTAAGGATTAGCAATCTTGTTTATGACAACATAAGTATAAAATCGGTTCACATGTATTTTTTTTATTTTTGATAGCTATTTTTTTCATATGATTATGCAATGAAATTAGGCAAAATCATAATGGAGTCAAAATTGTTGAGCCTTGTATATATGTATATAACTAAATTCAAATTGCCATACTCACTTGAAATTCAGTATTTAATTTTAACATATTAGTTTTGTATCGAAAATATAAACCGAATATTGTCGTTGTAAGCAATCTGATAGAACTACGTTTTATAAGCAAAATTATGTTTATGCCGAATACGTTAAAATATATATTATAATAATATTCCGTAATGCAAACGTTGCAATATTGACAATTGTTAAAACACATGTAACATATTTTGTAATAAGGCATAATTAAAAGTTAACTGTTTTATTGTTACGTTCGTAACAGTAAAATGTATATTGTTAGCACCAATTATCAATACAAATGATCTTCTTGACGAGTTAAAAAAAAAATATAGATAATAATTTGGTTTAATTTATCGAATAAATTTTAAACGTTTAAAGGCAAATATAACTAATGTATATTAGTCTATATAACTAATGTAATATATTAGTCTAACAGGATTTGTTTCATGTATAGTGTTTACCAAGCAGGAATATGATGCTTTTATTTTAATTGCATTTTTTTGGCTTGTATGTCAGATTTCTAATCTTATATACATAAATATTTACTTAGATTATCTACTTCAAAATGCAATTTGTAGAACAATTGGTTTTGCTGTATATTAATAAAATGGCCAAAAGCAAGATATTTTCTAGTCGACTATTTAATCTTTTTAAATTTAATGTTTTAATTATTATGGTTCTATTTATTTCTGTTTAGATTCAAGATATATATTTAAGTAAATAATATTTAGTAAGCATACTTAATTTTAATTTTATAAGCCAATCATACGATATTATTTTATGCTATTGACATTATAAAAATTTATTCATTAAAAATGGAAATAGCAAGCCACAATTGTCAATATATTTATTTATTTAGAATACTAATTTAAAATATATATATGGACAGTACATTATACACTTCAAACTAGCCCAAAGTTTGTAAACATTTTTAAAAAATTATTTAATTTATACTGCAATACGTAAAAACGAAGATTTTTTATTCTTACTAGAATATAGCACAGTACTGTATTTATATCTCCAGTTATTACTTTTATATTCGATATAAAAGACAACTATTTTATTCCATAAAATGATATTGCATTATCTTTTATATATCAGAAAGTATTCTAATTTTTCTATTGATTTATATAATAAGAAATATATGAATCATGGAAAATACAATAAAAATCATTATATTGACTGACCTATCTTATTAACTTGTAAATATTGTATAATAACATTATGTAAAATGCTATAAAAATACATCAATGTGGCGGATTTATATAAGCGCGAATAACACTTCGTTTTAACACAAATTTATCAAACTATAAAGAAAACAAAATTAGGTTTTGCTAAGTAAAGCCAAGAATATAAATTATTATTGCAAATGAGTATGAGTATATAATAAAAATATAATTTTGCGTGCATCAGAAAATTTAGTTATTTTTATATTCATTCCTTAAAAATGCCACTATGTATATATAGCATATTTATATATTATAAGCATAGTTAGCTTATTACCCTTAGTATTCACTCAGAAATAATGTTTTGCAATAATAAAAGTAACAATCGTCTTAGAACGTTGTGCCTGTACTGATTGATATTTATAAGGAACTTAGAAAAATTGAAAGAAAGTAAAAGCGACCATTGCTTTATATTTTTATTAGCGCGTTACGCTTTTTAATTACAGCAGAAACAAAATTTGGCCGTGTTGTTTTATAAATTTTTAGCATATTGTGAAATATACAATGTATAGCTCATATTTTATACTGTACACATTATCATCACTGTGATCAAGACATTTTCAACCGTGATGCATTTTAATCATTCCGTATTTTTAGATAAATAATTTGTACATCATAATTTATAAGATACATATACTAATAAATAGTTAAAGGTGGTGTTATAAAATATCGATGCTCAATGCATATTAATTGACCAGTAATTGTAAGACAATAAACACCAGTGAATGCACTAGCACTAAATAAGTGATATAATAAATTTTTGAATCACATCTATGATTTTAGATGTAAAGAACACCAAAGTAATATTATTTTCTCATTGAATACACAAGTTTTAATAAATATCTTGCATGTGTTGTGTCAGTGTCGTAGCGTTATAATAACATTTATAAAACTTTAAATTTTAATTCACTTGTACAGTATTAAAAATTAATATCAACAAATTATATTAGTAATGTTATAATGCTAATTGTTCTATTTATTGAACATAATATGACTGATGGCATGCAAATTATTTTGAAAATAATTTTCTGGCTTGACACACGTGTAAAACTAAAAAATCTAAGCTGTATTTACGTATCAAAGCTGTTCGTTAATGCTCCAATTATAAATAGAAATAAATATGTTAATGATACTTTATAACACCACCAACAAAGTAAATAAAATATATACATTTACACAACAGTATAACATATATACATAGAGATTAATCCATATTAGACATTTATTTAAGATATGTAATGACTGCGTTTAATATATTAAATTTATGCGTATATGGAGATTGTGGATGTTTTGAATAATTTATTTACAAAATAATTTTTTTAATCAGAAAATTATTTTGAGTACGGATGACTGTAAAATATATTATATATTAAATAAATAATAAGCCCACAACACCATAATGATTTTGTCGGTATCCGAAATTTTTGTATTTTAGATTGTTGGAAAAAATGTCATGCAGACAGTTTTCTTCAAAATGTATTTCTTTTCAGTATTGTTCATTTAAATTTATCAAAAATATGATAGTCAGGAATGAGGATGTTCAGAACGTGGATTTCAACCCTGGGCTCGTGATAGGTAAGAACATACATAACAATTACCGAATTTTTAATTTTTAGATACACATGTACACACACATTTATATATATATATATATATATATATATATAAATTATATAATAAAATATTTATTTTATTTATTATTTTCTGTCAGGTTCAACAGAATTTTCGATGTGAAGACTGAATATAAAATTTCCTACCAACCAGATTATTTTAAGGCAGTCTAGTCATCCACGAGCAAGTTTAATATACTACAGGTGACGCTAGATAATTATTTGAAGTCACTTGAAGTCATTTGAACCCTTGAATACACATTTTAAAGTTTGAAACGGAAGATTTAAAACTGCCCTGGCAAAAGGCAGCACTTTTAAAATACCCAGGTTAAAATTTGTAAGTTACTGCGTATCAACCATACTTAACACAATGATTTTTATTTTTTATTCAAGATTTATTTAAATATTATACTATAATTTTTAAATAAATCTTGAGTTATACAAGTTTTCTTATTAACGTAATTCATAGAATTCGGCCTTACAGTTTTCTTTTATTAAAAGTGGAGTAAAACAACGATTTTTATCATTCGTTTCATCATCATATTTCCTGTTAATTTTCATACATAAAAAGCGATACATTTAAACCCGAAGAGAGGGTTGACCATTGGAGTTAGCTATATAGATTACATTTTTTTTTGTGTCAAGATTTCCAAATTGCATTGAGAGGTTATTATAAAGTGCAGTAGTAAGCTGCATGAGCTGAAACCAAGAATTGTTCACATCAATAGATATCCCTTCGGTGATATATTCTTTAAACACAAATATTCCCAACAGCATTCAAATTGAATTAGCAATCTCTTTACACACACCCTTCAGTTTTATATATATATATATATATATATATATATATATATATATATATGAATGAAATTATGGAAATACGATTACCTTATTTATTTTCGTCAGTCTTCACTCAATCGGAACGAATGAATTCCGGTTGAAAGGTGTCAAATCAATCACAAGTAAACATAATTTATCTCAAGGAAAACTTGTTTGCATGAATTCAAATCGATGATAATAATTTTTGTAGCGGAAAATATTTTTCACTTAAATATTTACTTTGCCTAACAAATCGACTGACGCGCTAGGCGCCTATACTTTGGGTATATTCGCACGTCAGTAAATATGAACGACGAACTTATAACTTTGTTTTATGTACATAAATACGTTTACATTGAGAAAATAATTTTAGTTTTTAATATAAATGAATATACTATTTTTGCATCGTATAACACAATTATATTAAACATACTTACGTTTCAAATTATCAGGATTGAAATTGCTTTAACTAATTGTGGATTTTAAGTTGAAAAGTCCGTTCGAAATTTTGATCGTTTTCCATTTGTTATTCATGTATTATACTGGAAATTGTAATTCGATAGGCCAATTAATTATTATAACAAATAATTATGCTAAAATATAATATAAATTTATCTGTTATCTTCATAAGATATTATAAATTCGATT